CCATCTACCACTCCTCCTTCCATAAAAAAAATGCATAAACTGTTACTAATGATGCAGAAAGAATAACCACAACAAACCAAGCATAGAGTGTTTTTTCCAATAGTAGGTTAGAGGCACAAACATCAACTAATGTTGATACCTGTTTCTGAATAACTGTCACAGCAAACCCAAAAACCATGCCTCTCTCTGTCTTAGCCAAGTTTTCAATAGTTAACCTTAACCTAGTAACCTTAGCTATGGCTTCATAATCTTCTTTGGTTCCATCTTCAAGGAAAGCCACAAGAAAGTGACTTTGCTTACTGTAAAGAACTAATTCAACCCAAAAGTTTAAGTTGATTGGTGAAGGTTTTTTTTAATGGTTTTATATATATCAGCACGTCCCCTCACACGAGAGTCCACTGAGCTTGAAGAGTGGACAATGCACGTGCCACCTAATGGGGCTCTGATACTATGTAAAGAACAAATTCAACCCAAAAACTTAAGCTGATGGATGAAGGTTTTTTTTAATGATTTTATATATCTCAACACTTAACCAACAATCCTTTACACAAATAGCTTTCTTCCATCTCTTAGATTAACACTTGTAACCTGTAAAAAGAATCAAAATACAACTTTTGCATCCTTAGGAAATTGCTTTGGTAAGCTTTATGGATATAAGGCTCTTTTTTTTTTTCTTTTTTTTTTTAATTTTCCTTTGTTATAAGCCATCAATGGATCTTGAAGAACACATGACCCTTAAGGCCCAGCACATATTTTCAACTTTATATAAACGTTCAGAGGAGGCTGAAGCAAACGAACCTCTGTTCTTTCGGACCAAATCAATAATTGGCCCAGTGAAAATGCGAGAAAATCCTTTGCATCTTGACGATTGTTACATGTAACTACTACTCGTGCCATGCACCATAGTTCACATGGTCCACATTTTTTTATTTTTTTATTGGAAATAACTCACATGGTCCACATCGATGATTGGTTTTTCTTCCCACTCATGACATGACTTCCATGTGCGTAATATAGGCAAACTAAACTCTATTTCAAATGTAGAAATTTAAAATTGATTGCTGCAATGCCAAACGTGCCTGAATTTAAGCAAAACAACATTTTTCTCTATACATTAGAGAAATATAATATAAAAATCTTCAATAGACCTTCGCTTCTTAGTTTTAGCTTGTAAGTGATAAGTCTTCGGTGATTTTATATTATATCTCTCTAACACACTCTTTTACTCAAGAATCCTTTTGACTTGAACCATGGATATTGCATGAGAAAAAAAATATAAAAACTATTTATCGACCTTCAGTTCTTATATTATATCTCTCTCTTGCTACATGAAATAACAATACACAACAACATTTTATCGCTTTATTACATTAGTAGAAAAAAAAATCACTTCTGTTGCAAATAATTATAAGCCAACTGCAAGTATATTGTGCTATACAAAGAAAGAAAGAATAGATAGGACACATAGTGAGTTCATAAGAAAGTTCGTATATTGGACTAACTCTCTAACAAAGTATCAAATACATAAAACGCATGTGTTTGTATAGTCATTATATTACCTTTCAAAACTAATTCTTTTGATTGTTAAAATTGTACACAAACTAAAAAATAAAAAAAATTAAACATATGTTCAATGTTTTTCCGTAGATAAGATAAACTTATATCATGTGACCTCAAAATAATGTTGTTTTAAGGTTTGGAAAAAATAAATATCATTATAAAATTTCATACAGACCAAAATAAAATAAAATTATACAAATATTTTTCTTTAAATTTCAAAATGGCTTATTTTGTATGCAAGGAGATAACTTTATTTCAAGGAGAAATATTATATCCATTAAATAAGGATTTAAGGTTCTTTATATCACAGGAGATAAATTTATTTTCTATACACAAATACGTGTGACCTGTATGAACCTATATAAAAAGAAGAAAAAGGAAAAAAAAAATATGAATATCATATTTATGTGTACATGACAACCCTAAACCATTTAAACAATTGTATCCGTCGATTGTGATTGGCATTTATTCTTTCGAAAGTCGTCAAAGTTTTTTTTTTCGCCATTTGACCCTTAAAAAAATTGTATTCCTAGTTCATCCCCTGCACAGGTCTAGTGAGAAATTTAGGATTGCAGGTTTGTAGATGCTGAGAAAAAGTTACGAGTAGTTTATGAATTATGATGACAAAAAAGTGGAAAACAAAGTAACAAACTTGTTATCTCACCCACGAGTAAAAACGATCTTCATAGCTTGCTAAACAATGTTCTTTCGCTCTGATGTCACACCTACCAATCCACCATATCAGTTTCAGTCAACGACATCATCACATGCCCACGAGTGATCATCAGGTTTAGCACCAAAAACTTTGTCGGCACTTGATTATCTTTAGGCTTTATTAAAGAATGCTATAAAGATATTAGTTAATAAATATTTAATATTTTGTATTAAATACTTATAATTACTTAAACAAGAAATATTACATAATTTTTTTTCTTCTATTTTATTTATTTAACTGATACCTTCCTTAGTATATCCTTTGTCTTTATCATCAATGGTCATTTAGATGAGTATGTTAGGTTCAGCTACGTACCCATCACTAAACTCATGCAAGTGCATATCATGGATAATTTGCACGTTCGTACACATTAACTACTAGTGTACTGCATGTGCAAATGAAGATAGACTAGAAATAAAAAATAAAATGAGTTATATAATTAAGTTAAACAATAACATTGCGAAAGAGATATAGAGCTTTATATCAAAGGTAATGACCATATTGAAACAAAAGTTCTTAACCATTGTATGTGCACCATACACTAAACAATTACCCGATATAAGTACTATTAATTTTGTCTCTTCTTAAATCGCTGGCTCACGTTTTCATTGAGTGGCCGACCCCCAACGTGCATGATCCTTATCCATCACATGGGAGTTTTCCTTTGCATTTGGAAAAGTATTTTGCACATAAAACATGTGACTAAATAGAATGAATGGCCCATAGATGCTATAAGCTCCTTTTTTTATATGAAATAGGCACACAGTTAAAGCTCACAAGTAATTGTCCTCGTTTCCATTATAAGAAACGGCACAACCCGAGGACGACAAGACTCTAGTCACCCTCTCATCCATTTGTCTGAATATGTGTTGGGAGCTAAAGTTGAAGTTTGGTACACCATGAATGCTACTCTAATGTCATCATTGGCCTAACTTGGTGCTCATAAAATGACAAGTCTTTCAATTAGATCCTTATTCTCCTCTCCTTCCTCTAACAATGCCATGAATCATGACCAATGACCTAGAACTAGAGCTAGCAAATATACATAAAAGGAAGAGGGTTAACACCCTATAGTATAAAACAATATTAATGATGGCATTATTAGTTGTACAAAATTACTATTGATGATAGTAATAGTAATTAATATTTTCTTGACTTGCTTAATGATCAAGGATATGTGAAGGAAGTTGTTATGGAATATATATATGTGTTGAACAAGTAGATGTTGTGAATTAAAGAGGGGCATGTGAAGACTTCAACTGCACTCATCGCCAAGAATTAGGTTCACGTCGGGGTCCAATATGTTGCATGGCCATGCACCAAAGTGGGTAATAAGGAAAAGTAGAGGCGAATTCTTGACAAAAATAGATAGTGGTACGTTGCTATTATTCCATAACCATGTGTCAATTTCCTTGTGGCTTCGGTTAGGCAGTGTATGGGCAATTTCTTTTTCCGAAATGTAAATGCAAGTTCATGCCCATACTCGCCTGGTTGTCTTTCCATTTATATGAATGAGAGTTTCAGACTACTACTAGCTCAAACACATCTTACACGTACGTTCTTATCCAATCTACAAGGGAAAATACAATTGATGAGATAAAATTACTAAATCTCAACCGTTGATCTACTTGTATCTAACGACTTTAGTTTATTAGTCACGTGAGTCGTTAGGTGCAAATTGATACAATAACTAAGATAGAAAATATAACTTATACTGGTATAAAATGAAAATGGACATATCTCATCCAATATATTTAGGGATTAGTGTTTCTCATATTATAGGAGATAATTGTATCTCCTACACACACATAAAAGTGTGTAGGATCCATTTTTTCTCTCTTCTTTTCACATGATCTCACATGGGCCCCACACATTTTTATGTGTGTATAGGAGATAAAATTATCTCCTACAGTATGAGAAACATTAATGTCATATATTTATGGGAAAAACACTTTGCATATTGTACGAGAAGTGTTTTCTTATGTTGTGAATTTGTGATCCTTCGATTTTTGTGTAAATTTTTTTTTAATAATAAGTGTGGGGCCCCATAACTAGTTGAATCACAATATGAGAAAATAATTTTCATGCAACATCACAAAATGAAACTCTTATATTTATATTTATATTTATAAACCTTTGTGACTCGTGACAATTATTGGCCTAGACAAATTCACGTACATTGTTTCTCTGATTCTCTGAATTCCCTTTATCAACTAATTAATTAAAGTTTTATCTTTACTTGGTAAGAATAATCTGTGTTAAACTAGGTAAGGGTACAATTAATCATTAGGCTGAGCTTGAGACAAAGACAGAAAACCTGAACTAATTAAGCTGCATACACATACATTAGAGACAAAGCAGTCATTGAGATAAAAAATAAAATAAAAAATAGGACTCTATTAAAATATGACCATGCCTGCCACTGAGAATATATTATGCTTCAACGTTTGCGGTTCTCAAACATATATATATAATCAACCTACTCTCATTTACTATAATAAGATAATGCAGAAATAGTATAAGCTCCTATATATTACAATCCACAACTAATTTAGCTCTGAACTCATGGTACGTACGTAAAACTCCATACTTTAACTACTTACATAAACATATCTAATAATGTTATTCAGCCAGGTACAGTACTCTAGCTTATAGGCACATAAGCATTTATGTATATATATAAATTTATTTTTTATATATATATATTTTTTTATGCTTAGGTAATTCAATCCCCATTGAGTAATTGCATAGACCAGATATCCTCCATGGTCCAATAGTTGCTGTCATTGGTACAACAACTAGACTGATCAGTGATTGTAGGGAACTGAGTTGGAAATGGCTCCAAAGTTCCTTGGTATGAAGTTGGAGAATAAGTCTCCATTGGTTCTGCCATGGTGGACATTTGGCTACTGCTTGCATGATGGTGATGATGATCATTTATCTCTGAATTCTGTTGTTGGAAGTTCTCAGCTTGCTTTATGTGTTTCTGAATCCTAGTCCTCCAGAAGTTCTTAATCTCATTGTCAGTTCTTCCCGGAAGATGCTTTGCAATTTTGGACCACCTACACATTTGTGAATGTTTGATTTGAGAAAAAGACAATGACACATAACTGAAAAGTACTTGTTTTGCTTGGCCATATGTTAAGAAACTTTGGAACCTAAACTTAAAATGGTGTCAAACAAATTACTTAAGTATGTCTTAGGAGTGTTAATTTGGTTAAGGATATTAATGAGACAGAGAATGCAAGTTATGATATGATGAAAACCATTAGAAATGAAACTAGGTCATTGAAATTTGTGATGATAGTGTGTGAACATGTGTGTTGGTGCGTGAAAGAGAAACTATGATAAAAAAAAATACGTGAAGTTTCTTGAAAAAGAAAAGCATAAAATTGAATATTAATTAAAAGCTGCCAATGGTTGTCACATTTTATTGATAAGCAAAAAGTAGCAACACAAATATTAAATAGGTATCGTGTGTCTGGCTGAGACCATGCATGTTCTTTGGCTGAGAATAAACGTGATGCATGTTAGACTCACACATATAAAAAGACTCTGTAATAAGATGATGAAGGTCCCCTTGGTATGGAAATGATGCCTTTGCTTTGAAGCTGGGGCTTCAAGATCACCAAATATTCAGATTTCTCAATGCATGCCTCAGGTAGAAAGTATGATTCAATTCAAACATCTACAATTGTATTTTTAATTCCATACACATTTCTCTCTTCATAAAGACGTACAGTTTTTGTGTTTTGTTTTATCCAATTACAAATTTACAAGTAACTTTTTTAACGTACATACATATGATGACCTCATTCTTTCCTAGTGTTTTGACTCTCATAAAACATATATATATATATATACTTCGCTTCTCTTTGTTCAAGAAAAAGCCACATGTGCCAAATACGTGGCAGATTTCATTATCCTAGCTAGTAACTTTATAAAGTACTATAAATAAATGTAATATTTGAATTGAAGGGTCTATTTATGTCTTTTCCATCTTAGTCATTGAGGTTGTTTTCTTGGTTGGGATGAGTTGGAGGGTGAGAAAGCTACTAGGGTTAAGCTGGCAAGTTTATCTGTGCACTATGTAAGTCTATAATATATGAAGGAGACTCACAAATTTACAATTGTACACGCCTTGTCATGAAGAGCCAAAAAATGCGTGGTATTGGTTTGCATCTATTTCATCCAAAGTCCTTGTAATTTCTTTGTCATGTGAACTAAAAAGATATTTAAATGTGCCCCACTTCCTACATGAGCTCAGCCTAAAATAGAAGCTTGTCCAAACTATTTGGTTCTCAATCATTATAGAGGTAGCCAATCGTAAAATGAATGGCTACAGGAAATTTAATACCTTCACTATTATATAACTAATAATTAATATTATTGAGTCATACAGCCTATCCTAGTTCATAAATTTCTTGTTTAAGAAAAGTACCTATTTTCTACCCCCCTTTTTTTATCATGTTTCTTAACCTTACCATATGCAGTCTTTTTCACCTTCTATAAAGTTGATTTACATTTTATTATTAAGATTATCTTTTAAGAAAACTGTACACAGTTAACAATAATTAACTTGATTTTGGATTTCCACATTTTTATTCACCTTAAACCTATGTAGTAGGCATATCTATATAGATCTTCTAGAGTCTTAATATCAAATTATATAGCAAAGCTAGATGTTCCTCTCACAGCCAACCTCTAACTTTCAGAACAAATATAATAGATAATTAGAAGTTCTAAAATTAGTAAAATATTAGATAAAGGGAAACTATTTGCACTCTATGAATTCATGAAATTTTTTAAAAAGTAGGACATGGAAAACTTTAGAATGAAAGAAAAAGAGGAGGGTGTTTAACATTTTGCCTATTGATTCCTTATATATGCTCTTGATGGATCTAAATCTCCCCCCACCTGCCATGTGTAAGAAGTTCACAGCATATATACTTATGCTCCATCTTCATTATAGTATAATTCATGGAAAGCGAGCTAGAGACAGAGAGATTGAATGGAACAAAAAGGAAAACATATAACAAAGTACCTTCAAAGGAAAACTCTCCAATTCTTCCATATGTTAAAATCACAAACCAATCATTTTGGCGGCTCTAAAATTTTAGAAACGGATTTAGCATAAGTTTTACAAAGCCCCCATGTGTTAGCTAAATCTTCATCTTTGGCTAGAATTCTCTCAACGACAAAGTTCTTTCCCCCTTCAAATAGTTTTCTTCAAGGACCGTACTAATGCTGCCATCTAGTGGTGTGATTCCAAAACCAAATACTACGTACAACTTAAGTGAGAGCCAAGAACTTCTTTTGTCTCTCCATGACAAAGATAGAGAATATGGTTGATGATTAAAAAATATTTCTGGGTAACAATATACCATTTGTGCAAAACTCAATATCTAGATGGTAGAACACATGCAATGCAAGTTTTTTTTTTTTTTTTTTTTTTTTTTATGATGATCATCATATGTGTATTCACCTGTTTCCCCACTTTGCATGAAGCTCCATGATCAAAAGCTGTTCCTCAGGTGTAATATTTCCTCTTCTAACATCCGGACGGAGATAGTTTAGCCACCGGAGCCGGCAACTCTTTCCGGTACGTTTAAGACCTGCAAAAATAACCATGATGTCACCCTAGGGTTTATGGTGAAAAATAGAGAAAGAATGGAAAGAGTTGAAGAATACTCAAGATGTTTATAATGAAAAAAAAAATGGATATATATACATGTTTACCTGCAGCTTTGGCTAAGGAGTTCCAAACACCTTCACCATGATTTGCAATATAGTTGATCAAGATCAAGTCTTCTTCCATGGTCCATGGTCCCTTTCTCACTTCAGGATCTTGAGATGAGTTGCATGGTTTTTTGTCCATCACTATGTATGAGAGAGAGAGAGAGGAGAAGAGAGATGGAAATCATAGTGGGTGTTGGGGGGTTTAAATAGAAGAATAATAATCAGTGGGGGGCACAAGTTACATGGGTTGACTTCGGTTCGGGCTAAATTTTAACAAATTGTATTTATCATGTATAATTATATAATTAATTATAATTTGGCTCAGTCTAAAATTGTAATTTGGCCCGGGCTAAATTTATAATTTGACCTTATCAAAAAATTAAAATATATTTGGTGAGAGATTTGAGTAAGTTGTATTAAGTTATGTGTTTCATTCCACTTATATAAAAAAATTAAAATATATTTAATAAAATTATAATTTTTTTTGATGATGCTCTCTGCTCATGTGTTTTGTATTTAATATAATTTAAATATATCATAATATGAACTAACAAAAATTTAAAAAAATAAATACGCATATAATTTTTTGGCCCGAACACCAATTAGAACCTGACTCCGCCACTGATAATAATAAGATAATTTGTTACTTGTAAATAAAGTGTTAATTTTTCAATTAGTAATAAAAAAAGGTGTTTACGAACCTAACTATGTTAATCGTATAAACATGCATGCATGAATACCGAAACTAATATATGTTTGCATGCATGACTATTTTTTGTTTCTTCGGTAAACTATAGCTTACAAACTAATACCCCTTCGTCCTCTCAAGTTATACAAGCACATGCAATAGAAGCATATGACAGTATATGTAGATATTTTATAAAGAAGAACGGGGATACGATATTTCAAAAATATCGCACGTCTCGTGCGATATAGTGGGAGAAGAAAAGTATTCACTTCTTCTAAATTAAATACACGGTACATTTCAAAAAATTAAAATGTAAAATGTAATTAAATGTATAAACTTTAATATAACATTATTTATTATTTATGAAATCATATTTTATTAAAATTCAAACCATTAATTATTTTAATTAATAATTATCAATATAGTATCATATTAAAATAATTTTAATAAGAAAAAAATATTTTACTTTGGCTACGGAAATATTTTCTTATCACATATAAAAATAAGTGGGTCCCGTTTTAAATATAAATAAAAAGAAAAAATATTTGTAGAACTCACTCATTTTTATACGAAAGGGACAGAAAAAATATTTCTATATTAAAATAAAAAATGTTAAAACCATTTAATAATTATCTTGTTCAGAACAAATATACCTATATTAAAAGAGAATTCAATAGTGTGGCGAAAATTTAACGTTGTTACGAGAATATCAATGTTAGTAGTATAGATACATGATTAAATTATCAATAGTACCCTTCTATTTTTTTATAACATTTTATAAAATGCAAAATTTATTAATCCAGCCGTCAATCAACGTCATGTGATATTAGTATATAGTTGATGATAATTAATGCGCGCATATCAAATATATATATATATATATATATATATATATATATATATATATGCAAAAAATATTTCTCCGACAACTTGAGATAAGTTTATCTCCGGCCATCACAAAACTACGTCGTTTTGTTTATTTATTTTCTTATATTAATTGATTCACCTCTGAATAGTTATGATTCTTTTTTTTCTCTTTCTTTATCATCATTGATCCATCTTTGTTCGGTTATGATTTAGTAGCCGGAGATAACTTTATCTCCGACAACTTGAGAAATGATAAGCCCTATACCTATATATATATATATATATATATATATATATATATATATATAAATATATATATATATATATATATATGAGATTACATTTCTACAGCTGTTGTACGTGCAACAATCAAATACTTGTCATATATATACTTGAAATCATTAAATGCGGAAAATCATAACCATACAAAGGATGAAAATATTAAATGTGGAGAATAATAACCATACACCTGTCGTTGTTGTACGTAAAACGGCTGCAGAAATAATTTTACTATATATATATATATATATATATATATATATATATATATATATATATATATATATATAAACCAAACATGTTCTCATAAATCATATAGTTTTATTAATAATGTCTAATAAATTTTCATGTTAAATATATATATAGACTTTATTGCACTAATTTGTAATTAACTCCTATTGTATAAAATATTAAAGCAGTCAATAATCAAATTTTTTATAAGTTATTCTGTCAACTAATGTAATAAATAAATAAAATAACTTTTTATTAAAAAAGATATAAGAATATTTAACATGAATGCCCTTAACTTTGATAAATAAATGTATGGTACATTCATTTCAAAATTATGAAACTTTTATTTAAATATCTTAACTTTTAAAATTAAGAGGAATGCCCTTATCTTTGATAATGTCACCAGAGGCCATCAAAGTGGTTCATCAAGTTCCACTAAATTGATCTTTTAATAGACCAGACTGATAACATTAATTCTCACTTAAGAAATGGAATAATAATTATGGTCGTGTTTAGATATTATTATTATTTTTTAAAATTATACGATATAGTATCTATAATATTTTATTTTATTTTCTGAAGTTATTGTTTCTAACTTCTGTGTTTTTTTTTATCTTTTCTTTTTAAAAGTCTTATTATGTTGGCAAAAAGATATCTTCATTCTCACAATAGCAATCCACTAGTAACTAAGATATTAAAAGTTTGTTTCTATTATAATTTATATACCTCGAATCTTAATTTGAGATACACAAACTACAAGTTTCATTAATAAATAATATGTCTATAAAAACTATAACTAAATTATGTTTAAATATGATTTTAAGTCTTAAACCATAATTTAACTAGAAGAGATTTATATTTTCATTGGGTCAAACCATAGCTGACCAACTATAATCCAAATATGCAAGTAGTACTCTAGTACCCACGATGAATTGACGGACCAATAATGCATGGATATACGTCAATAACATTATCAACCGAATCATAAGTTATTTTATATTGAATATCTAGCTTGTGTTAGGTTCTGTTGTATAAAAAATAACATGATGATAGTACTGAAAGTAAAATATATACTGAAAATGAAAAAAATAAAAATGTTATATTGGAAACATAATACGGTGAAAATAATCAAACAGAAGAAAAGATTCTCAATTTATATTCAGGGACATATAGGGTTATAATCAAGGGATATATTTCTATCTCATGTTGTAGAAATAAAAGTATAAGTGAAATCCACAGGTAAGAGGAGAGAGAAAAAAGAGTGGTGGGACCCAACCCCTTTTTGTGTGTGTAGGAGAGTTGTTTATCTCATGTAAAATGAGATAAACATAACCCTATAATCAATTACCTTGAATGTAAAATGAAAGAATAACCACTAAGTACATAGATCAATTGGCGGGGAGTTGTTCTAGCAGTTTTAAATTCCAGTTTTGAGTAAGAAGCTGTGTTAAAACTTGATAACGAGAGTTTTATTGCTCCCGTGATTCTACCCGACTCGAACCTGAATTAATCAGCACTCGTTAACTATAGGATACCAGATGGTTTATACCAAAAATTATGAAAGAAATATGTCGCAAATTATGTTTTCGAATACTATAATACACATACATACAAAAATGATTTATTATTTTAGTACATGAAAAATGATTTATTTTACAAGATATCTACAGTTTTAAAAAATCTGCAAGAAATTTCAATCCTTAATCTGATTTTAATATTTAATAATTATATTATGCAAAGAAGAGAAAATTTTGTTTGAATGGTGATCAGGTTAATAACTGCACACGCAGCAGTTGTATATCAGTCTGCAGGGGATCCATTTCCAATATGTGTAATATATCTTTTAAACAAAAGATAACACCAACTTGTCGATCACATCACATACTCTAATATTTCTAAAATTTAGCTTGCAAGACTAATGTTATCATACCATATATATCATGCAATTAACTCTTTCAAAGTATTAAAATTTTAGGAGGAAACACATGAATGGTTTTATTATGTTTCTTAATAATTTAATTAATTGAATTACTTAAGTTCGTTAAGGATTATACACTGCTGCTAATTGATTCCATACCATTGAAATTGTAAATAGTTATTTTGTTGATTTTTCACAAAAGCTTTTAAAAAAATTGAAGAAGAAAAAAAATGAAAAATTAGGTGATATTTTAATTTAAACATATGCTATTTATTTATATGTTTATTAATTTTAAATGAGTCTAAAGAATATAAAATTCATAATTAATTCAATTTCTTTTTTCCCACTATTATCCCTTACTATTTTCAAATTACTAAATGTAGTTTAATTTTGTAACTTTAGATACTACATCAATTTCATAAGAGTTTTTTTTTTTTTTTTTTGGAGATATTCCAATTGGTTCATCACTTTGCTACTAGTTCAATTAAGGATTGATCCCGAGATTAAGGCTTTAAATCCCTCCCAAAGACGATACTAGATCAATTTCATAAGAGTTTAAACCCAACATTAATGTGAAATCTGCAATTCAAACATTATTAGAAGCATTTTCGCAGATTATCTTTAAGAATCTATTATTATTATTTTTATTTTTGGTTGAAGAATCTATTAACTCTTATAAGGACACAACATTTTCAAATGGGGCTTAAATACGACTTTGATTTAAATTGTTTTTAAACCATGATTTTGCTTCAATATATTAGTCAATAGTAAGTATTGAGTATTAGACTAATCCAATAATAAGAATATCAAACTTGCTAGATTACCAAAAAAAATATATCAAACTTGCTAAAATGACTAGTTATCACATTAATTTGTTTTGCTTAATGATAACGGTCACAACATTGAAATTCTTAAATTCTACGACCGTATACTGCACAAATTTCAGGAAGCCTGCCTTGAATTGTTATAATTTTAAGATAATTACCTATACAAGTATTTTATAAAAGGGAATACTTTTTTACACATAAAAGAAAATTTGATTATGCACATAGATTGAATTTTGTGTCAAGATTTTTTTTTTTTAAATTGCTGCCCTCACTTTTTTGTCCCAGTAGATAGTGGGAGACAATTTTTTTATTTTTTTTATAGCGTGAGAGACAATTTTTTTCTTATA